ACTCCCTTGGTCACTACGAATAGCTTTAACCATTTTACCAAACTGCCTGTGAACCATCACACAGAATGCCTCTAGAATCTGGCTAGTTTCATATTTCAACCTCATTAAATAAGTCCAAACAGCTCTAGAATGATCATCCACAATAGTAAGAAAATAGGAATAACCATCATAGGATTTGACAGCAAGAGCCACCCATATGTGTACATGAATCAAATAAAAAACAGACTGTGCTCTACTAGTGCTAACAGGGAAAGAAAGCTTTCTTTGTTTGGCTAAATGACAGGTTTCACAATGTTTAACTAGAGAACTATTACAGCCAACAAGTTGGTTCTCTCTTTCTCTACTTGGGTGGCCTATCCTCCAATGCCATAGCTCAATTTGGTGGGGTTGAAAGTTGTAAGTGGTTGCTGTATGAGGTGAGGTAAGGCTGGAATGTAGGGGATAAGTTGGTAGAGTCCTCTATTCTTCCTGGCAAAACCAATCTGCTTCATGGTCACTAGGTCCTGAATATGACAAGAGTCATATTCAAAATGTAAAGAAAGAGGAAGTTCATGGGTGATTTTGCTAACTGATATGAGGATGAAAGTGAAACTAGGGACAAAGAGGACGTTTTGAAGGTATAAACCAGGTTGCAATCTAACTGTGCCAATGTGACTGACTAGGATTTTTGAGCCGTTAGATAAATACATAAACTGATTAACTGTAGGTTTAGCATCAATCAATAGAGATAGTGTACATCATATATGATCTGAGGCCCCAGTGTCTAATATCCAGATTTGAGCTAATCCCATTAAGCCATATTTGTGAGAAGAGAGGATAAACTTACCAGAGTAGTTGGGAAACTGTGGTAAGTGTTGTGTAACTAAATAAGCAGCATGTTTGAGTGAGGGTGAAAGTGGTGGTGAGGGACTCATGTTGTCAGAGTGCTGCAGGAGAGATTTCAGCTTGCTAAATTCTTCAGTAGTGAACCATTGACTGCCCTGACTGCTTTTTATGTCTAAACTCAGGTTGCTACCTGTAGAACCAGTGTCTTTGCTCTCTGAGTCAGACTGGGAAACAAAACCAACAAAACTGTTATCTCCTGTCATCCTGACCTTCTTATTCTTGAGTCTATAACACTCTTCTTTCACATGGCCATCCTTTTTGCAGTATCTGCAAAATTTCCTTTCTGCATCTGGACTATCTCTCCCACCTTTACTTGGCTCGAATGAGCTAAAGCTCTTCTGCTTATCACCTTGAGCTGCAAGTGCCACTGAGGGAACACCTCTATTGGAATGGCCTTTGTCTGACTTGAGCTTCTGTTCATGTTGCAGGATATCATCTACAGCAGCTTCCACACTGGGTAGTGGCTTCATCATCAGCAACTGAGTTTCTACAACATCAAATTCAGGTCGTAGACCATGAAGGAACTTAATAAGGTAGTTAGTGTCATGTCTTTCCTTAAAAGCTTCAACAGCTGCACAAGGCTTGGTTCTAACGATCACACAATCACAATCAATAATAGGATTGAACTGAAGATACTCTTCCCATAATCCTTTCAAATGCACATAATATTGAGTCACACTCAGACTGCCTTGTTTGAAATGATCAATAGCTTCCTTCAGATTTGCTAGTCTTAGGGCATTACAGATGCCAAATCTCTTCTTGAGTTCATCCCAAAGTGTCTAGGCTACTTCATGTTGCAACACACTATGACGAATATCTTTATCAATCGAATTTAGAATCCAACACAACACCATGGTGTTCGAAGCATCCCATAGAAGGAACTCAGGATGAGTACGTTCTGGCATAGGCAAACTACCATCAATAAATCCAATATTATGCTTGGTTTTGAGAACCATTCGCACATCCCTTTGCCACATATGGTAATTGTGTTCAGCTAACAACTCAGATACTATAGATTGCCCCAGATTCTCACTCGGATTGATATAGTAAGGACTACCAAACACATAGCCGACTTGGTTGTTAGGAATACCATTATAGATGTGAGCTTGTGCTTCGTTTTGCGTTTGTTGAGTTTGTTGGTTATGTTGGGTTCACTGGGTCTGTTGATTCTGAGCATTGCGATTGAAGCTTCCAAAGGGGATCTCTCCATCACCATTGCCGGAGCTGCTGGGTGGAGTGTTCATCGAACTGTTTTTTATGCGGAAAAGCAGATCACCGCTCTGATACCATATGTGAAACCTAGCTGCTAGGGTTGCAACTGGTTATTAGAGAGAAGAAGAATGCGAGCAATGAATTTCTGAGGAAACTCGCAACTTGCTAAGGCTCCAGATCATTGTATTTATACTCTAGTTCAGAAGGTAAAGTAAACAAACAGTAAAACATAAAATGATCGTTAAAATGTCACTCAAACAAGCTTAAAAGATAATCGCCACTTGTATTAGTTTGATTGGCCTCTTGATCTCCACCTAACGGTAAGTTTTGGTCTCTACGACATCGCTTCGACCTTCGCTTTAAGTCAGGTGGAGTGGGAGGCAGAAACAAAACGTTTCTGCCTGGGTACTCTGTTCCTCCATCGTTCTTCAATCTGCAACAAAGCAACATTCCTTCTTCAATCTGCAACTCGATCAATCTGCTCTGTTAGGGCTCAATGACCCAGAAGCTCTGCCGGAGCTGGGAGCAGGAGCAACTCGGAGGCACGGGGAAGAGATGTGGGTGTGGATATTGCGGGAAGACGAGGAGAGAAGCTTCAACATTTCGGGTTTTTCAGGGGAGGAAATGTTTTGTGAGAGAAAATTGAGATTTCAGGAGATGGGAATGTTCAAGAGGATTGGGAGCAGAGGGAGGTGGGAATAAGGGCGATGAAAATGAATGGTGTTGATGGTTTGTTAAGCCATTCATAAACCCTATTGCTTGTTTGCACATTGCTCTACTCATGGTTTGGACTTTGTAAATTTGGTAAAGTAAAAACCAAAGCCAAATTTTCACTGTCTTACCCATCTGCGCCGAATGTTGTTTAAGATCTATTGTATAGTTTAGCAGTGGTATACGAGTATCTGAGATATATCGAATACCTTATCGAATTTGTCAATATTTAATGTTATCGAATATTTATTATTTTATGGGATTGATATCCATATATATCGAAATACAAATCAATATTGAAATATAAACTAGTGTGTATTTTATCTCCCACAAGTACCAACTAGACTTTCTTACTCACTACTACAAGACCCTCCATCGCCAAGACGGTCACTTTATTATATGTAACTCTTTCTCTCACTATATATTTGACAACTCATACCAAGCTTGTTTTGTTACTTGTAGTATGTTTATAGGTTGTTTAGTCATCTACATTTCAGTTTGTTGCTTTAATTTGTTAATGTGTTTCTAAGGCTTCACCTTTTTCGACTTTGTTGTTGTTGTACTTGAGAATTTTTCTCATTTGTTTTTAAGGAGTGTTGGCACCATTGTTTGTTTTTATATATTTTGAGAATGGTTTTTGTAGCTACTATAAAAGGAGAACGATTTGTGTTTGTATATTTGATTTATAGTTTTGCAGCCAATTAATTTGGTATTTGGTATATACCGATACCGAATAAAATATTAGGAATTGAGATTGTGATACGCCAAGACGCTCGCGGGTAGCTCGGCTCATTTGCAGCCTTAGTGAGGTGATATGGCTTGTTTCATTTGCACTTGGTTCATAAAGTTGCTAAGCACCAATAAGAGAACTGTTTAAACCCATGCAAACCAACTTTAAACACATGAAAAATGTACCTTCAAATCTTATGATTATAAATTCAGCCAAGAACATAAATTATAAGCTTCATTTTGTTGCTCACATTATGAACCGTTGAAGACATTCCAAACAATCAACTTTATTTATAATAAACCAATTCTCTAAAATTATAAAGAGGCTAAAATTTGGGTTGTTTTCTAGTAGTACTTTTATTTAATGTCTTTAAGTTAGACGTAAATATGGACCGACTCATATATAGGGTGCTCTCTCTTTTATATCTTCAAACTAGAGGTAGGTAATTTAGTGGAATGACCAAAGTGACTCAAAATGCCATTCTCCTCATTGGGTATGTTCTCTCTCATGTCATGGTTGTGTTTGTTTTCTTTGTTTCACCGGTTTCACTCTTCCCTTGGGATTGTCGGCTCGGCGGGTGCAGCTCAACCGCAGCAAATGCTTCTTGGAGTGCTGGACTTCCTTTAAGAACTGAAGCATTTGTGATACATTCGTGGGTGAAGCATATTTAGTGTATCGACAGTTCCGTGTTTCTTTGGCCTCCCTGTTCAATTGTTTCTTGAAATTAATTTCTCGCGTCCCGCTCGATTTTCGTTTCTTATGCGTGGTTTTTTTTCCAACCTCTCTCAAACCCACGACTAATTATCTTTACAACACTCTAGTGGTATTCATATTCCTATAAAATCTTGCGGCATTGTGCAAGTTTCGAGCAAAGTCGAGGATGAGAGGAGAGCAGCAAGGTGAAGAAAAGGACAATAAAAGAGGATTTAGGTAAATAGTAATATCATTCCGTGTTGAACAGAAGTGAAGAGTATACAGAAGAGCAGTGCAACTAATGGTTGACTCTCTGCTGCCAACAAAAAATCAGAAAATGTTGCCCGCTGCAATTTCTAATTGCTCTATGCTTTGTTTCAGTTGCTAGAGTGGTTGCAATTGAAGATCAGGTTGATATGATTTCCGCCCGATGATGATTAATTATTCCGATTCAGAAGAGGAAAGTGAGACTGAGAGCAATACATTCCTAACCCTTATCGGATATCAATCAAACAGAACACAACAATACCTTCTATAAATAAACACCCTCCACTGCTTTCCTTCTTCGTCACTACCCAGCAAGCAATTCGCTACCATCTCCACAAGTCGGAACGTGAGCAATCCTTGAGATCAACTTTCCAACAATGGAGGAAAAGCCTTCGCCGGGAGTGCTCGCAGCACTCGACGCCGCCAAAACCCAATGGTATCACTTCACTGCCGTCGTCATCGCCAACATGGGCTTCTTCACCGACGCCTATGACCTCTTTTGCTCCTCGGCCGCATCTACTACACCGACCCAAACTCCCCCAAACCAGGCTCCCTCCTGCCCAACGTCACCGCCGTCGTCAACGGAGTCGCCCTCTGCGGCACCCTCGTCAGGGAGCTCTTCTTCGGCTGGCTCGACGACAAGCTCGGCCACAAGAAGGTCTACGGCATGACCCTCGCCATCATGGTCTTCTCCTCCATCGCCTCGGGCCTCTCCTTCGCCCGCAACCCCGCGGGTGTCATCGCCACGCTCTGCTTCTTCTGCTTCTGGCTAGGGTTCGGCATCGGCGACGACTACCCTCTCTCCGCCACCATCATGTCCGAGTACGCCAACAAAAAAACGCGCCGCATTCATCGCTGCAGTATTCGCAATGCAAGGATTCGGCATCCTGTGAGGGGGAATCGTCGCCCTGATCGTCTCCACCGCGTTCGATCACGCGCTCAACACGCCACCGTACTCCGCCAACAGAGTAGCGTCGCTTCCCCCGCAGGTCGACTACGTCTGGCGGATAATTCTCATGGTCAGAGCCATCCCGGCCGCGCTGACCTACTACTAGCGGATGAAGATGCCCGAAACCGCCCGCTACATGGCGCTGGTGGCCAACAACGAGAAGCAGGCGAGGGAGGACATGGCCAAAGTGTTGGCCGACGTCAAGCAGCTGGAGGAGGTCAAGGTCGAGAAAGTCAGAGTCATCACCGTGGTTTCCGGCGACAAATTCGGGTTGTTTACCCGCGAATTCCTCAAGCGCCATGGGCTTCACTTATTGGCGACGACGTCCACGTGGTTCCTCCTCGACATTGCCTACTACAGCCAGAATTTGTTCCAGAAGGACACCTTCACCGCCATCCACTGGATCCCGCCGGCGGCAACAATGAACGCGATCCACGAGGTTTTCAAGGTGGCGCGTGCACAGACGATCATCGCGCTGTGCGGGACGGTACCGGGGTAATAGAGGATGTTACAAACCGAACAGAAAAATAGGGTTACCGATCTGGCTGAGTCGCGGACTAGGTCGCTCTCTTTAAGACGTTCGCGGCACTGCCTTCGTTGCGCACGGCAGACTATCAGCCGGTCGCCTCCAGGATAAAACAGTCATTCTTATTTTGTTGCTCATCGGTTTTGTGCGAAAACCGGAGCTCTATGAACTCACTCTCTATCTCGTGTTTCTGCTCTCTGAGGTGTGTTTAGAGGGTCTGGGGCGTCTCCTATTTATAGGAGCAGAAAACCCAGAATATTCCCTCTTTCTTTGGGAATAAGTCATATTTTAATTAGGGAGATAATTACTCCCACAATTAAAATATAATCTATTAAGATAATTATTCCTAATTATCTCCATAATATTCCTTTTATTAATTATCCATCTTAATTTCGTATTATGGGAAAATACTGGATAATTAATTAGGAATTTCATTATAGCTTTTCAAAGCTATTCATCCCAACAATCCCCCACTTGAATAGTTTGAAACTATCTATGAGCATCAACAGTTCCATAAGATCGGGCATAAACTAAGGTATCGCGAAGATTTGAACCTTAGCGTAGTGGTTACACTTCCGATTTCATAAGGGTGACTCGTAGTCTTGAACCCTATCTCAGACAATGTAGCACGCCGGATCTTTTCATTGAGTGATATTCTCTCATAGGCCGTGCGTTTATGGCCATGCACGTTATCCCGGTTTAGTGAACGCTCTAGCAACTTTGTGCCTCCAAAGTTCCATAGGGAGCGGCCTCACTCCCACATTCACATAGGTGAGTCTATCAGGAGTACCCCCAAAGTAAAGTACTCCACTCCACATAGAGTATAGATCTCATTAAGAGTTGAACTCAACCTCCAAGGCTTTGGGATTCATGCTTCACTATGCATGAACTTTTCTCAATATTACTCATGACTTGTTATTACCCATTGAACCCGTTTCTTGGGATCTCCAGTCTATCGGGTCGGGTTACCATCACTTGTAATCCGTGGTTCGGTAGGCATAAGTCTCATACCCTTGGCGGTATTTTGGACTTTCTCTCTAGATAATCCTTTCGTCAAAGGATCAGCTAGATTCTGTTAGGACCTTACAGGATCCACCCTCATTGCTCCTATCGTTAGGAGTTCTCTTACAGTACTGTGCTTACGACGAATTTGTCGTCTCTTTTCGTTCTAGAACCGGTTCCCTTCTTTAGTAATAGCTGCGGTGCTATCACAATGAATCAACTACCGGAGGGATCGGTCTTCCCCATAAGGGAATCTCTAGTAATGACCCTCTCAATCAACTTTCCTCTTTACTAGCCATTGCTAGTTCTATCATTTTCGTTTTCTTAGTTGATTGAGCCAGGATCGTTTACTTCTTAGACTTCCAAGACATAGCTTCTCTATCGATGTTTAAAACACATCCTCTTGTTGTCTTGGAGTCCTCTATAAGGTATTCTAATCCGCATCATTATACCCTACCAATACAGCAGAACCTTTGATAACAAATACCAAGGTTTTTCTGTTCTTTTAAGGTGTCTCATGACCCCTTTCAATAGCATTTCAGTGCTTCATACTAGGACAATCAGTAAGCGTGCCAAGTACCCCCACTATGTCGGGTCTCATGTTTACCAGCTGCCTCACGCAGACTGTCAATGCTAGTATATTCTAACTTTCTCTGTTTCTCACACTGTTTCCAGTGTTCTTTAATATTTACACTAGCATCATCAACCATTTATGCAGGCATACTGCTTGTATTTCTTCTAGACCTTAACTATGTAGTTAGACTGATCTAGAGGAAATCTATTCATTGTCATAGTTACATGGATCTCCTAGCTTACACAAGCTTCATCGAGAACATTCAAAATTCTCAAACTTGGTTTTTTCATATCGACATCACGATTCTTTGTACCAAAGATCGACGTGTCGTTCATAATGCAAGTGTCATTCTCAAATTTGTACTAAATGCACTTGTCACTTTCACTTTTAAAACCATGAGAGAGAACCAGTTTATCCATGCCATCGTCTTAGAGTCTATTTCAAATCTTACAATGATTTGTCTAACTATAGACTCCCTAAGCATGTTCAGGAATAACAACTCTATAGGTTGTCCCATGTAGATTTCTCTATCTAAATCACCATTCAAAGAAACATGTTAAACAATCCATCTGACGCACAACACTAGCAATCAGAACATACATGGATGTTATTCTACATATGGTGAATAGATAACAAGAAAATTTACAATTTTTCCTTTTCGCTTAAAGCCTTAGCTATTAGGCGATCCTTATACTCATAAGCTAAACCAATAGGTTTCACTTTTCTTTTTAAGAATCCATTTATTACCCATGACTTCATTGCCAAGAGGTAATTCTCAAAGATGCCAAATCTTGTTCGATTCTATCGATATATTACCCAAGGCTTTTCAACCAAGAGGTAACTCTACAAGATTTTAAGTCTTACTAGACTCCAATAATTCCATTTCGTTAATAATGGATTCTCCCACAATTCTGGAAGTTCGAACTTCTAGCAGACTTGTAGGATCTCTCTTTCTTAGGGTGTAAATAACAAATTCATAACCAAAATCCTTTCGTGATTTATGGTTCATTTGTTTCTTCTGAGTTTAAACTCAGATTTATTACCCCCACTAGTTCCATTATTTCTAATAGTAGGCAGGACACTACCCCCACTATTTCTTGATTTAAAATGGAAGTTTCTTAGCATTAATGGATTTCACAACAACATGAGTATTTCGTTTCATAGGAACTATGTGTTTTTATTGTTAACAACATAAAACACACTCATATGCTCTTCTAGTTATCATGCTACACTGATTTTCTAACGCTACCACATGCATGCCACATATCGAATAATCAGTGCAATCATAATGCAATTAGGCATTTCAAACCATTTCAAATAACTAGTCAGACAATCAGAGCACTCTAAAGAGCAATAAATTGTTTATTGTCTTTTCCATCAAGTTTACCCACATAAATCAGATCTATATATTCTGATTCTCTAATCACATATTTATGGGTCATTTAGATTGGATAGAAAATTCATATTTTTCTCAAGCATCCAATGATAATAATATGGGAATGCGATATAAGATATTCTAATTCTTCACACAGACACACTTGGAAGAATTTATCTTATCTACTTAACCATTCCTTACATCTAGGATAGTCAATGAATTTCTAGAGGCAGGGTTCTCTTCCACTTTTCTAGAACCATCAACAATAGTGGTGAGGGTCTTGCCCAACAACACTTTCTCTTTCAATACGCGTCAATGTATGATTGAGCTTAGCTCGTTTATCACACACATATCTTGAAGCGGTCCTATCCAACCACCATTCTTCAGAGTTACCATTAAGGCTAACCTCTGTCATCACCTCAGTGAATATTATTACCAAATCCTCTTCTTTAGTCAAGTTAACACTAGGTTAAACTTTTTCTTACACTTTCGTGTCTTATGACCTTGTTTCTCACAAATTTAACAGAGAAACATAACGTCATTCTTAGAGGATTGGATTACAATCTTATGGTTACCACAAAGGGTACCATTCTATTTGGTATGGATCTGGTTCGGCTTGCTCTCATTCTTGAAACTTTAATGTTTCAGAGCAGCCTAAGTGGTTTGTGTAGTACTAATAATAGTACTTCTTACAATATCGTTATTATGGGCAATAAACCCATTCTATTCCCATATATTCTTCAATGCACACATTTAGACAAAATTACTCTATTCTGCGGCATGCATTCACATTTATACTCTAATCATCGAGAAACTACATCTCAATGTCAAAATAATCATGCATCAGTTCTATCTTCCTTTTTAGCATTCACTATGTTTCTCAATTCCATGCATAGTATCGTATGACAGTGAAAGAAGGTTTAAGTTCTTACCTCTTTTTCAAGAAGTCATTGCAATCTATTCATGTCATCGTCGTAGCACTGGACTCGCAGTCGCAGGGCTCCCTCAAAGCAACTCCATCGGCTTCTAAGTGAGCTCCAGCAGCAGAAGCTATGCATTTCTCCAAAGAAATTGCTACCGTCGAAGCAATACATCCCAGACTTTCGAATTTGTCTGTCAGGCTGTCACTAACTTCCCTAGTAGCGGAGCTAGCGACCGTTGTCATCGTCCACAAGGCTTCTCCTGATGCAGGCCTTAGGATTAGCCCAATTCTTAGGTGAGCCCGTACAAAAAATCCACGTGCCCACTGCTGAAACTCAAAATTCCTCCCGACGATCATCCTCAATTTCGGGCCTAGTTCAAAATTCTCCTGGCTTGGTTGGCTTCGGTTATGTGGCGGAAATTAGTTATGGAGGCACGGCGGTAGTGACCTATTTTTTATTAATATTTTATTGGCCGGTACCCTACACCAGGGCGCTGCGTTGCCGTGAAGGATGTCAACTCCGATTTGCCTTCGATCGCCGCTTAATTGCATAATAATAATTCCTTCTTCTCAAAAACCATTGCTCCATCGAATAGACGTTCTTCCCAGTGAAAATCCCTTCCAAAGCCCATGATTCTTATAGACAAAGCAATTAGAATTGCCTCCGTCAACCTCAGGCGAAGAGATGGAACACATACAAATCCTGGCTCCTTTGTTCTCCTTGCTGCTGTGTCCGCCAACTAGGTTAGATGTGTTATTCAATTGAACCTCCACCCACCATTCGAACACCTTATTAACCAGACTTCCCTTGGAGCGTCGCGTGATTCCAAGAATAGTTCGACCATGTGGCTTTAATTCTAATATCCTCTTCTACTTTCCGGGACGCAGTGGCCAGGACGAAGTTCAGCTCGACCCGTCGTCACTCTTTTATCGAAGACACTCTCGAGGCTGCTGGTTAATCTCAGTGCCAACGACCGCCAACAAGCTCGGTATGGCGATGCAACTCGCTCAAGCCAGAATCGGTATCCTATTCGGTACAGATGACAGCAACCGAACGTCTTAAAATTGTTACAAACCGAACAGAAAAATAGGGTTACCGATCTGGCTGAGTCGCGGACTAGGTCGCTCTCTT